TCTGTGTATAGCTTTATAACTCATTTCAGCTGGTAAGAATGTAATTGATTGAGTTATTCTATTGATACTTCTGCCTGGACTTGGTAATCCATGAACTTCTGCATAATTTTCTAGAAAATTCTTTACTACTTTAGCAACATTTTTATCAATCACCATTAGTTTTCCATTGAGGCATTCTTTTTATGTTTCCATGAACTCTGGGTAAAAGACCATTGTTTATCAGATGATTTCTAATATTTTCAAAGTAAGTTCTACCAATTTCTAGCATATTGAGATAAGTTTCTTGACAAAGGAATGTATTGTGATCTCAGTGATAGAAAGTTCTTTTATTAGATCTATTTTTCTTTTTAAGGCGTCTGCTGGTGCTTATTGATCTACCATCCATTGCTTTAAGTTGGGCCATTAAAAATATGTCTTGTTCAGACTTGGAAAGAGCTTGAAAGGATTCCCTTAATTCTGCAAAATTTTCCTTGGGAATTCTTAAAGAGCAACCACATTTACAACCTTTTTTTAAAAAATCAATGGCTTTTTGATATTCATTAGAACCAATGTATTTGTTATCTTTGTTAATACTTTTCATATACACTTATTCCTATATATATAATTTTATGTTCACTTTGTAGTTTTTTATAATTGTTTTAAAATTGAAGGAAAGTATATGAATGGAATTAAACTTAGATGAATCAATGGAATATTTTAGGTAAATGATTTAAAAAATATGATTGTTCAGTAACCTGTGAAGAGAAATTGGAAAATTTGGTCAACTTTCCCATGAAAAATAATTATGTGCAAAAATTTCATGTTTCCTGATTTTTTATTAATATTAATAAAGATTTACATTCATCAAAAAAAAATTTTTACAATATTAAAAATCATTATTGTAAAAACATCTTTTAAAAAATTTTTACACATTTAAAAAAATGAATGCCACTTAAATTGACTACCACCTGTGCGATTGATTCAATCATTAATGCTAAATAAACAAATAATTTCAGAATAATACCTTTCATTGCAAGAGTGGAATAAAATAATTAATTTATTACTTTTAAATATAATTAATTATATAACTTGGTTGGATAAAAAATAAATATAACTTAGTTATTTAATCCTTCCTCATATATGTGAATGCCTCCATCCATCGAATATTCACAATGGTTATGATTATTATATGATACATTTGATATCATCATTGACATAACAAATAATTGCATCATCCAGGTAGTAATAATACCAAGGTCATGCAAAAATGAAACTTTTAATAATGTGTCTACTCAGATCTTTGGGATTTACAAAATAAATTATTTTTTCTGATTATTAATTATGAATAATAAATCTGATGTTGATTGCAGGTATTAGATTTAATTAAAATTTTCCTGTCACAAACATACAAGCGTTATGCAAAGTACCCTCCTACACTGTAGACCTTTTTTCCACGAGTGAGAGCAACTTGGACAAGTTGGAAGGCTTTGGACAAAATTTTTCTTATCTTCCTCTCAGATCAGACTTGACTGTTACCATATGAGCATTGATCACTGATAGCTGGTGCTTGTGTGATGATTGTGTTATATCTCTAGAATAAAGTTGGTATCTGCAACAGGTTCAAAATCCTGCACCTTGAAAGATTACAACCTGGGTTGCTGTTTTAGATTTTCCCTAAATTTAGACACATCAACATGCCAACAACCCTACCCCATTTAAACAACAAGTTCAGTTGGTTAAATAAAGTTTAGAGAAACAGAAAATTTATGAAAATGATTAATTTATAACATCACATACCAAAATCCAAACCATTTTATGACTTTTTTCTTATTGGTCATATTGCTGACAAAGATGTATATAAACATACAATAATTTTAATCTATAGAACAGAGGACTGATTGGGCAAAAACCAATTCAGTCTCCTACCCAAAATTATAAATTGGTTAACAGAGAATTTAGGAAAATAATTATACAAAACAAACACTATTTTACAACTTTCCTCCTAACATCAGAGCCCAAATGCAATTTCAGGATCACCAACCCTGCCCTAAATTGTAACCTGTGCTTGAAATGAGTTGCAGATTCTCGTTGCTTTGATGTTTATGTGCACCTAATATCACAACTTTGCTGCAGAGTTGCGATTTGGTCACAGTGCTACCTTTACCCTAAAGTAAAGATCGTTGCAGGCAAATTTTCAGCTAACGTGGCAGCCTCCTCTGGTCTGAGAAAATTAGTGAAAGTGTCATTGACGATCGATGAAATCTCAGTAAACTCCAGAGCTTTACGCCCCCTGAAAATTCGGTAGCATCATTGTATCATCTGGAGCACCGTGATCAGATTAGCCTTATGTACACGAGAAACGTGTGAGAATGACTGTAAAGTGTTCAAGGTAGCGTACGTGCTTCAACATCTGTAAATTTCCAATAATCAAACATCGCATATTCGAAATGTTTCTTTTTCAACGGTATGCCACCTTGACATGTAATTAATTATAATAATATTAATATTATTAATATTGATTATGAAAAGCAAAATATTTAATGAAAATTTTGTAATTACCCTGCAAGATCTGCTCCACGTTTTGATTTCCAATTAAAATATTTATAAACCAAAAAAGATACCACATTATATCAATACAAATAAAAAAAAGTACCTCTGATTAATTATTAACACGTTTTCTTTAGGAGATTCAAACCAAATCAAACAACAACACTCACGTTTTGTCACTTTGGACTTTGTCAAAAAATAAATTGTTTTTCCAAGGAAAAAAAAAAAAATCATTCGCGTCTGTCCTACCAAAAAAAAAACCAATAGGATAAATAATTAGTGTGTAACAAAAATTTTTAATTTCTATTTTATGCAAAAAATTAAAAATGTCTGGTAGAGCAGACAGAAAAAGAAAACAAATCCAAGAAGAATTTGCCAGGTAAGTGTTTTAAGGATGGTGGTGGTGGTTATCGCCCGATACTCATTGTTACTCTAGTTGAAATTAATAAAACATTCCTATCACGTTAATTTCCATACTTGAAAAAATAGATATGTTCAACCCGTAAGTAAATTACATTCTTTTCAAATATCAAACTGATTATTTCATTTAATGAGGCTTTGATATTTTTTTTTCCATAACATGAAAAATTAGGAAGAAATATTAGAAAAAATTATCAATAAATTAAGCGTAAATCACAATATATCCACAAGTGAAGCAAAGAAAGCACTTGGAAACGAAAATATATTGGAAACTTTAACTGATTTCATAATTAGAGCGTCAGAAATTCTAGATAATTATGTCGAGTTAAAATATAATAAAAATGAAGAAGTAGGATTTGACAAGTTTTTTACTTATATGTTTCTTTTTTTTTATTTGTTGTAAATTTATATTCTTTATTTTATACAACAAAAGAATAACTATAATAATATGAATAATGATGTTATTCAGAATGGCAATTCAGAACTTATTGTAATCACCAACACTATTACTACTACTGCTACAAATGAAAATGAGAGAACATCATTACCTTCATCTCCTATTTTTGATACATATTCTATAAATCATTTGGATTTAGATGAAAATGAGTAATTATTATATATTTTTATTATAATTAATAATATAAATTTATACTATTTTTTTTAGTAATAACAATAATCCAGAAGTTGAATCAACTTTTCAAAATATAGAAGAAGCTTCTACTGGTAATTCTTCTGATCAACAACAAATTACTAAAAAAAGGAAAATAATGACATCATCCTTGACACAAGAATACAATCTTCGCAATAAAAAAGATATAAATTATAATTATGGTCGTGTATTAAAAAGGAGACATCGTAAAAGTAAACCCGTAAGTATAAAATATTAATAAGAAATTATTATTATAGTATTTAACTTTTATTTATATTATAGACATCACCATCTCCATCTTCTTCACCATCACCATCACCATCTCCTTCACCTTTACAATCATTTAGTGTAGATGATAATTTTTTTGATGAAAACGAAACACCATGAAAGAAAAATTATTGTCTAAAATGCCCTATTCACTGTGAAGAGGAAGCTATGTGAGATGTCTTATTCATTATTTGTTAAAGTATGTGTAGTTTTAATAATTTAAAAATATCATGTTCTTTATAATAATATGACGATATTAATAAAAACACCATCTTATTCATTATTGATCAGGCATTATGTGCTATCAATGTTGAATGTGTTACAATTAATGCAAAAAGATATTTGATTTGTCAGGAAGAATTCATGGAAAATGAAATAGTTTTTAAAATGATAATATTAATATTAAAAAAATTGTTGTTAAATTAATTAATAAAAAATTAAATAAAAATTTGTTGCAAATCACTATTTTTAAAAATCATTTGTTATATGACAAAAATAAAATGTTATTTTTTACTAGATGATTTCAAATATCCATATTTTCACATCACATATTAATATATAATTTTTTTTTTGTCATGATGCGTTATTTTAGTACAACTAAATAATTATATTGTAAGATTTATTAATCTTACGAATTTAGTTATTTCGCCAGATAACTGATCTTGTTGGAAGAAAACGAATTCTTACTCAATCAACTTATTATAAATCGAATATAGATTTGATACAATTCATTGCTTCACTTAGTAAATAATTGTCAGCCAGCTAAATGCTAGATAGTTTTTTTGATGACCTTTAATATAAAAGTATTGTAAATCCAAAATGGTTTGCTGAAATTAATTTTTTCTAAGACAATTTCGGCCAACATCTATAATCACATTACATCATATCAAACAAAACATTATTGGCCCTGAAATTTCGGTAATATCAATGTTCACTTTGTCTGGTTTTGTTGCAGTATGCCCATATACAAAAATAATAAAACCTAATGGCATTCTATCATTGCTAATATATTCACAGAACTGGAAAAATCTGTGGTCGAGGATGTTATTATCCTAAAGGATGCTATATTCATTGTAAATCTTCAGTACGTACTTCTTATAGAGATTGTGGTGAGCTAAATAGTTCTATACATAATGCATGCTATAAACATGTAGGCAAATATCAAAGTAGAGAGAATTATCCCAGAAAAAAGCAGGATGAATTATGTGCAAAAATTGCTATGTTTGAGAATCTACCTGATTTATCTAATTCTGGATATGAATAGACAGTTATAAAATTAGGAGAAATATCTTGATATATAAGGAATAACTTACCTTACTATAGGTCATTTTTCACTGGCTTCGAGCATATATGCGAGAAGGTGGGAATGCGGTAAGCTAACATATTCTACATATAGTGCATGCTGGAATCATGTGAGTAAATATTGAAAAAGAGAATATTATCATCAAAAAAGCAGGCTGAATTACATGCAAAAATTGTTATGCTTGAGAATCATATACCTGACTTGTCAGATTCTAGACATGAAGTATAATCATACGCTTGGCATGTATTAATTATTTTTTCCAAGACCTCTTTATAAAGCTATGGATTCCAAGACTTTTGATCGAATTTGTGTCTTGTTCACATCACATTTTCTGACAGAATTACAATAACTACAACCCATTCAATTTTGGGTAAATATTAGATATTCTGATCTGAGATAATTAATTTTCAATTTGAAAAAATAAGTAGGTTAATGTACAATCACAATCTACTTATTGATATATATCTATCATGGCAACTCTCCGAAAAACTAGAAAACCCAAAACTAATAGCTTTACCTCCATTTTGGATCAGATCCTCAATAAATATAACCTATCGACCAAATCAAATCCGCTTCAATTACGTGTTCATGCCGATAAGCTTGGTACTATACTACCAGATTGAAAGGCTCGTAAAGATGTGAAAGAAGCCTTCGCCAGCGCCTATTCAAAGACAATCAAATAGAAGCTCTTGTATCAGACAAAAGGGAGGAAAACTTACTATCAAGGAAAGAGCTCAATATTGTGCAAAACCTGAAGATGTGTGGGATATTTGGTTATATGCTTTAGATTTAATTAAGACAAAAAATGATAGTGATGAAGAAATTGTTGCATCTAGCTCATGTCTTACATTATTTCGTAAGGAATTGAAAGAAGCTGGAGTTGATTCTAAAGTAATTGATATATATGCTAAATTTCTAGCATGTACTCAAGATTCTAACGAAATTCAGAAGAAGCAACTTGTACAGCGATTTCCCAATGCTCTTAAAACCCCTAAACACTTCTCCTTAGAGGAGGGACTTAGAAGAATTCAAAATATTGATACTACTAAAATTCCCACTATGCAGGATCTTGCAGATGTGATTATGATGTTAAGCATGAGATCCGCTGAAGTTACTACTCTACATATTATTCATTGTGAACCTGATGAACCAGACCCTCCAAAATGATACAAACCTGGTTATTCTTGGTATTGTACAGGATTTATTAAGAATAAGGGAGAAAAGGAAGTTAATCCTGAGCCTGACAATTTCTTTCCATGGAAAAAAATCCAGAATGCGCAAAAGAATTGCTTATTTGGATTCAAGATGCAATAGCAACCAGAAAGTTACGTGATCCTGTATATAGTGATAATGGAAAACGCAATATTAAAGCATTTAGCAAATTTTTAAATCCATATGGTATTACTGCTAAAAGATTGAGAAAAATAGGAAGTAAACATGCTTCTAGAGTTTATGGTAGTCAAAATCCAACGGCCTAACATCTTAGTTTACTTTATAGAATTGCAATGAGACATAAGATCAACCGTTTTGATTCTGGAACTTATTATGCTGAGGGTGACACTTCTTCTGATTCCGATACCAATCCTGATACTAATACTAAACCTAAATCTCAGTCTAAGAATTATAATCCTTTTGATGCCCAAATCGCAGAAATATATTCTATATTAGCAGAAATGTGAAGTTAGACTATTAGTATCAGTTCCAGTGGAATTCCTGTAAATCTCTTCTCAAGATAGGATAGAACTTGCCTTAAAAGTTCATCTGATGGGGGTACTTGTCCCAGAATTTGTTCGCAAATTATAATGCACATATGATTTTCATCCATATATATACTAGATAAATGTTTGATTTTTTACCAAGAAATCATGCTTTGCATCATATCCATACCAAGTCATTCTACACTTTCACAGTTACTATTTGGATTGAATTCTGACAAGTCTCCCAACATTTGAGACGATAAGTTTCTGTATTGACATAATCACCACTACCCCATTGTTCATTTATATTATTCCTTATATTATCTTTTTCATGGTCTTTATTGCATATAGGACAGGGCACTGAACTATTAAAATTTGAAATATCTTAGTTTGAAGGGATGTAAAGGGATTACTGAAGAAGTAATGAAAAAACTTAATTCAAAAATTAAAATTGAACATCCAGATTATTCAGATGATGAATTCTCCGATTCTGATCTACCTCCACTTATTCCAGATCTATTAAGGGTATCTCGAAACGTTATCTTTACCGGTGAACCTAATAGAATAGTTTTAACTAATACATTAATTGTAACAGATCTTATTTCTGCAATTAGAGTATCATCAGCATTGACTGATTCAGATCCGAATTTTGATAGACCTATCATTTACATTCTAAAATAATAGTATACAACTATTTAGTCGCATATAAAAATAATTTTCAATGTTATCATAATAAGTATTTCTTATCTAAAAATACGTCTGTATGTATTGTTGTTGTATAAAAACAATTAAGCTTTTTTTTGACATCATCCAGAAGATATTTTCTAGAATTTCTGGTGGTATTAAATGTATTCATATTCATAATTTATAATAAATATTGTATATTTTTTTTCTTGCAAGATATAATTTCCGTTCAAGATGCCATCAAAAAAATCCCAAAAAAATACACATACAAAAATAAACACAATTATATATGCGAAATCGATCACTAAGACTTGCAAAAAATAGTGCGAGGTATATTTTATTCTTTATTTAATAATGCTACAACCAGGTCTGATTTATATGCAAAAGTAGATATGCAATAAAAATGTGATTGTTAACTGTGATATCAATCAACATCAGTGCTGATCGCACATAAGAATTTTGGCCTCGATCAAGGCTGAAATAACTAGAATTTTTAAAAGTCATGATTTCTACTACAGAAACTTCTATAAAGAATTATGAACAATTTTTTATTAACTAAGATTTTCCCTCAGGCGATTCTTTAATGCTACTATGAAATATCAATCATCATAATTTATTATATAAAAAACAACCTCCAAGATCATCTTATTAATTTGTTGATACAGCTAAAGAAATATGAAAATTCCAATTAACAGGATATAGAAAATTTTATGCCTATTTTTTTAAATTCTGATGATTTCGTCAAGATTCGTTTAGAACTAATCGAGACCAAAAGAAAACCTCCCAAAAATCCCTCGCCTTTCTCTATTTTAATTTTATCATCACAAACTCCCGATCCCTTTTGATTATTAACCTTACCATTTTGCATTGTTAACATATATCTATTAAGCTGTTTCACTCCATCACTGATTATTTTTTTTTACGTTTACTCATTCACATTTCTTTTTCTCTTTACACCAATAAAAATAAATTCTATTTAATAGTTCATTTTCAGTTTCTTTTTCAAGTTTTGCATCTAATGCTATTAACGATTTATAACCTGGATTATCAATCCATCTTCCTTCTTCTCCACTCAGAAGACCTACCAACGATATACACTTTAGTTCCAATATTATGCTTGAATTTAAACTGTTTCTATTTACTCCATTAACGAAAATATCGATAAAGCCAAAGCGACCTTCGCCTGATATTTTTGAACTATCTATTACGAGACGTAATTCAGAACACCAATGGTTTATGGGAAGTAGTAATTCGACTGCGGTCTGGAACGCTACTTCATTATATCCCCTAAACTCTCTAAAAGATTTTGCCTTATAATAATTCAAAATCATATCAAGAAATGTTGAAATGTTGCCTTCTAGCATTGCTTCATATCTGATATATTCATTATCGATAAAATCGTTACATACAAAATTTGACTATTTTAATAAAAAAAAAAATTAGTAATCAAGTAAGAAATTGATTAATTAAAAAGAACAACTAGGTACACCATATTCAGTTAATTTTAACGCTTGTTAAGATATACAAAATAAATTTTCCAATAAAGTAAGGATGATCAGACACATACTACTGGACATAGCCAGTAAAAAATGTACTAATTCAGCTAACTTTCAAGGACGTACCTTCCCCTGTGCTATCCCTACTAATGTGAGAACCGATCCTTACGGGATAGGCAAGGAGTAGCCTCATCCAAACTCATATTATTAATGCTATCCCTTCACAATGAGAACCGATTCTCATTTATTAGGATAGATAAAATATTGCTCACACCAAAAAGGTCACTGCACAAGACGACCGACAATTCATCATAATAATAGGTATAGTATAGAAAAAAAATTAAATCAATATCTTACCTTTCTGTCTAATTTTGATACGAATTCTCTTATCACTTCTAAAGTTTTAGAATCTTCCTTTATTTTTCGAATTATTCTAAAAAAACACTGATTGTAAACCTCTTTTTTTAAAGTTGTGTAATTATTCAGAATCCAATTTTCATAATGTTCAAGTGACTATTGGTTGAAAGGAAAAGCATAGAAATATCTGAAGTATAGCCACTTCGAATTTTTTACATTTTTAAGAACAGGAATAAGTTTTTCACTTGACAATTTCCCTATAAAGAAAGAAATTAAATAAGTTATACAATAAACTAACTATATATCAAATCCATATACTGTACATACCAGTATTAATTTCGGTGATTAAATTTAAAAGTGTTACAGTAGGCCCCACCTTTAATTTACAGTCGATTAAATCTTTTCTTTTCAATAGAAGAAAGTTTAACCCTGAAATTTTTTGACTTCTTAAACACGAAAAATCTTCGTCATCAAGGTTTAATTCTTGATTTCTCAAGAATCCTATTAATTTTTCGGTATTCCATTTTTTAATGATATCATGTAAATTAATAGAAATTTTAGTGTTAAAGACAAAAGTAAGAACCCACCTTTTATAGCATGATGGAAGTTTGTTTTAATTGGTTTAATATTTGTGATCTACATAAAATGTTACATCAAATCAAACCAATAAAAATTCTAAATTCTTATCACGTGTATATTAATAGAGCGAAGCGTAACGCGTTAAAGCCATGATAAAGAACTATCGCAAACTGTTACACTTACCACTTATATTAATTAAGAAATTGATAGATTATCATGTGCTTAATCAATTCTAACCATTGATTTTCCTTTTAGAAGATTACTTTTTTTTTTTATATGTACGTGAAATTTCGCTTTAAAAATAAAGTTTTTTCAAGATCTTACAAGTAGATACAAATATATAACTTTAATAATAAAAATATATGTAATTTTATAGGAATAGGGATTTTATGTAAAATACAAAAGATCAATTGTTTTAAATAAAAAAAATGAATGTTTATATTATAAAAATTTTATGATAAGAAGTTTTTAATAAATATTTTGAATTTAAATACAATTTAGCTAAAATAATAACTTTTATTAAAGATAAGTAATTTATGTTCTTCTTTGAATAACACTATTGAACTAAATAAACAATATTAATAAAACAATAAAAAGAATATGTAAAAATAAGAAAGATTATTAAATAATAAAAAAATAATATATTTTACTAATTTAAAATTATATATTATAGGAGATTATTGAAAAAATTTTAATATTCTATATTAATATTCTATTCTAATAAAATATAAAATATCTGTAAAAAAAAATTTTTCATTTAGTATTATTTTTTTTTTTTTAAAAAAAGTTTTTAAAATCAAAAAATTATCATTAAAATTAAATATCTCTTGTTAATATAACATATTTTTCATTTTAAAATTGTTTATATTACTTTCACATATTAAAATCAGCATATAATAAACAACTTGTTTGAAGAGATATTCTTAAAACTACCAAACTGTTTAACTTTTAAAACTTATAAAAATGTTTTTGAAAAGTGAGCAAATGTTTTATGTAAAATAAAATTTCAAAAATGTTAGTAATATTATACAGTTAGCTTATTTGCAAAATCAAAAAAGTAGTAGATAGATTAAGTAGACATCACTATATATATAGTGATGTCTACTTAATCTATCTACTTACACTATATTGATGCCTACTTATAGATATTGATGCTTACTTATAGATATTGATGCCTACTTACTTGTTTTTACGTGTCTATGCCCCTTTTGATGCCTTGTAGCTATCCGCTTGATTTCATTGCTTTGTGGCTTTTTTATTGCCTTGTAGCTATCCGCTTGATTTCATTGCTTTGTGGCTTTTTTATTGCCTTGTAGCTATCTGATTG